CTCATAGGTTAAGGAATTTGGACCATGAGGTAGTCAGGGAGATGAAAAGGAACAGATTTTAAAGCTTCATATCAATGGGATTTGGCAAGGAGAACATAGTAACACGTATTTAAGGAAGATGTGTCCCAGGCATTAGAGTATGAGCTTTGCAACTAGAGTTGCAAAGATCTGAAGATTCACTGCTGCCATCTGTAAAGGTAGAGTTCAGTGTAAAAACAAAAGAAGACAAAACACTAATGACCCTTAAAACGCAATAAGATGAAGATCAGCTGCTGAGAGGGACAGCCTGTAAAATACTAAAGTTGGTTATCTTTTACTAGGGGGTTGCCACTCTGCCTTTTATAGTTTAGGAGCATCAAATCTTCTTTAAACCTCACAACAACAGCTCTATGAGTCAAGGGGTGCTATCAAATTCATTTTAGAGATGAGTTTATAGATGAGTAGATGAGTTGATCAGCCCGGAATCCTGTAGCTGGAGTTACATTCTTTCTCTCTCTTTCCACATGGTACATCAGATCAGATAGCAAACCCTATTAGCTCTACCCTCAACATATATTAAACATTTAAGCCTGGACAACATAGTGAGATTCTGTCTCTGAAAAAAATAATAGTTGGGCGTGGTCCCAGCTACTAGGAAGGCTGAGGTAGGAGGCTCACTTGAGCCTGGGAGGTCGAAGTTGCAGTAAGCTATAATCACACCACTGCACTCTAGCTTGGGTGACAGCAAGACCTTGTCTCAAAAACAACAACAAAGAACCACTTCCCATCACCTTCACTACTACCTGGCCCACACCATCATTTAGGCTTGATTACTACAATGGTCTCCAGCTTCCACTCCGTATCCACACACAACAGTGTTTTGTAAAACATTAAAAGATTACATGGCTCTCCCGCTCAGAACCCTCTGGGGTCTCCCTAAAATGACTATAACAGTGACAGTGATCTTCAGAGAGTTCCTCTTGCTGTACCCTGTCAAATAATTCTGACAAGCTATATGCCATGTAACATGTTTTTAAAGTGACATCACAAATTTTCATCATGGGTTTGAATACTTGTAAAAATGTAATTTCTGGCAAATAGTAGATATTGACATTTGGAAAGAAAGCCATTGCATCATCCTTTTCTTATTTTATTTTATTTAGGCAGAGTCTTGCTCTGTTGCCCAGGCTGGAGTGCTGTAGTACAATCTCAGCTCATTGCAACCTCTGCCTCCCCAGTTCAAACGATTCTCCTGCCTCAGCCTCCTTGAGTAGTGGGACTACAGGCATATGCCAATATGCCTAGCTAATTTTTGTATTTTTAGTAGAGACAGAGTTTTGCCATGTTGGCCAGGCTGGTCTCCAATTCCAGAACTCAGATGATCTGCCCACCCCAGCCTCCCAAAGTGCTGGGATTACAGGCATGAGCCACCACGCCCGGCCCATTGCATCATTCTTTTAAATGTATTCAACTGAATAGAAATACTATGGCAGGTTGATATTCACCACCATCCCTTTAAAAATACATGAATATTGGCTGGGTTCAGTGGCTCACACCTGTAATTCCAACACTTTGGGAGGCCGAGATGGGCAGATCATGAGGTCAGGAGTTCGAGACCAGCCTGACCAACATGGTAAAACCCCATCTCTACTAAAAATACAAAGAATTAGCCGGGTGTGGTGGTGCATGCCTATAATCCCAGCTACTCGGAAGGCTGAGGCAGGATGATTGCTTGAACCCAGGAGGTGGAGGTTGCAGTTAGCCAAGATAAAGCATTGCACTCCAGCCTGAGAAACAAGAGTGAAACTCCGTCTCAAAAAAAAACAAAAACAAAAATAAAAATATATGAATATCTTAGCTGGGTGAGGTGGCTCACACTTGTAATCCCAGCACTTTGGGAGGCCAAGGTGGGCAGATCACTTGAGGTCAGGAGTTTGAGACCAGCCTAGCCAACATGGCAAAATCCTGTCTCTACCCAAAAATATAAAAATTAGCCAGGTGTGGTGGTGTGCACCTGTAGTCCCAGCTACTCTGGAGGCTGACACATGAGAATTGCTTGAACCCAGGAGGTGAAGATTGCAGTAAGCCAAGATCACACCATTGCACTCCAGCCTGGGTGACAGTATGAGACCCTGTCTCAAAAAAGAAAAGAGAAAAAAATGATATCTCTTATCAATATAGATTTTCAAAAATCCTCAAAAAACATTAGCAAATCAAATTCAGCAACATATCAAAAGTGTTATACACCATGATGAAGATGTATTATCTGAGGAATGCAAAGTTAGTTTAGCATCAGGAAATGAGTTTGTGTAATATGTCATAGCAATAGAAAAAAGGACAAAACCACACGATTTGATAAGGATGCCTCATATATTGCTAGTAGGAATTTAAAATGGTGCAGCCACTTTGGAAAATAGTTTGGCAGTTCCTCAGAAAGGTGAGCATGAGCTAAACATATAGTTACTATATGAATCAGCAATTCTTCCGTTAGGCATATATCCAAGAGAATTGAAAACATACATTCAAGCAAAACCTTGTGCATGAATGTGCACAGCAGGATTATTCATAATAGCTGAAGAGTGGAAACAACTCAAATGTCCATCAAATAATGAATGGATAAACAAAAGATAATGTAAATACACAATGGACTATTACTCAACAATGAAAAGGAATTAAGTACTGAAACATTACAAAATGAATAAACCTTAAAAACATTACGTTAAGCGAAAGCAACTAAATCCAAAAGATAACATATTTGTAGCCTGGTGGAACTCCATCTCCACAAAAAATACAAAAATTAGCTTGGCGTGGTGGTGTGCACCTGTAATCCCAGCTACTGAGGAGGCTGAGATGGGATAATTGCTTGAGCCTGGGAGGTCAAGGCTGCAGTGAGCCGAGATTGCACCACTGCACTCCAGCCTGGGTGACAGAGTGAGACCTTGTCTCAAAAAAGAAAAAAAAAGATATATTGTATGTTTCCATGAAATATTCAGAATACGGAAACCCATAGAGGCAGAAAGTAGAATCATGGTTGCCAGGGAAAGAGAAAATCAAGAGTGACTAACAATAGATGCAGGATACTTTTGGGGGTGATGAAGATGTTGTGGAATTAGATGGGATGATAGTTGTAAAATTTTGTAAATATAATTAAAACAATGAATTGTATACTTTTTTTTTTTGAGACAATGTCTTGATGTATCACTCACGCTGGAGTGCAGTGGCACAATCTTGGCTCACTGCAACTTCCGCCTTCTGGGTTCAAGTGATTCTACTGCCTCAGCTCCCTGAGTAGTTGGGATTACAGGCACATGACACCATGCCCAGGTAATTTTTGTATTTTTAGTGGAGACAGGGTTTCACCATGTTGGTCAGGTTGGTCTTGAACTCCTGGCCTCAGGTGATCCACCTTTGGCCTCCCACAGTACTGGGATTACAGGGGTGAACCACGGAGCCCAGCCTGAATTATATACTTTAAAAGGGTTAATTCTTTTAAAAATAGATTTCAGTAGGTTTTGGGGGCAACAGGTGATATGTATGATACTGCCACAAAAACTCTGGTACATTAATCTTAGGATCTCTGGGGTGTTTTTTTGTTTTTGATTTTTTGAGACTGCCTCACTTCGTCACACAGGCTGGAGTGCAGTGACTCACTGCAACCTTTGTCTCCTGGGTTCAAGTGACTTCTGTGCCTCAGCCTCCCAAATAGGTGGGATTACAGTCATGCACCACCATGCATGCCTGGATAATTATTTTGTATTTTTAGTAGAGACAGGGTTTTGCCATGTTGCCCGGGGTGGTCTCAAACTCCTGACCTCAAGTGATCCACCCACCTCAGCCTCCCAGAATGCTGGGATTACAGATGTGAGCTACCACACCCAACCAGGCTTTCTTTCTTTCTTTCTTTTTTTTTTTTTTTTTTTTTTTTTTTTTTTTTTTTTTTTTTTTTTTTTTTTCTCGAGACATAGTCTTGCTCTTTTCCTCCAGGCTGGAGTGCACTGGCGAAATCTCGGCTCACTACAACTTCCTCCTCTCAGGTTCAAGCAATTCTCCTGCCTCAGCCTCCTAAGTAGCTGGGACTACAGGCACGTGCCACTGCACCGGGCTAATTTTTGTATTTTTAGTAGAGACTGGATTTCGCCATTGTTGCCAGGCCGGTCTCGAACCCCAACCTCAAGTGATCCACCCGTCTCAGCCTCCCAAAGTGCTGGGATTGCAGGCGTGAGCCACCGCGCCCAGCCAGGATCTCTGTTTTAACAGAACTATTCTTATTTGAAATCAATTACTTATTTGCACGTTTATTGCCTGCTGTAACCCTTCCTCTTTGTGGGCAGGAATCCTGTCTATCTGGCACATACCTGTATCAATACAGTGTCTAGCATGTTAGGCAATAAAATGTGTTTGAATGAATGAATGCCACGCATAAATGAACAAGAAGGCCTTGTTATCAAATATAAATGTAGTCAATTCCTTACAGATCTCTTTTTAAGTTATAGGTATTTGAGCTTATACTTTGACTCATTTATGAATTATGAAAGTTGGGTTATGTGAGAAGAAAGTAACCAAGAGAGAAGAGTTTACTTAAAGGGTTGGTTATCTAGGATACCATAATTAAGGAAACTGGTTATTTGAGGTTCTAGTTAGTTCTGTACAGGTTTTATTTCTCCTTGAGGTCCTTGAGAACAGAACCAGCCCTGATTTCTGTATCCTTCGCTGGCGACCAGAATAATACCTGAAAGGTAGTGGGCGCTCAATCAATATTTGAGGAATTTAAGAACCAAGCTGGGAACGGGGAGTAAATGAATGAACTGTCTCCGTGGGGCTGCAGTTTCTCCCCGGGGCAGGAGGCGGCGTCAGCGTTACGCCAGCCCGGCCACCGGCAGTTCTTGGTCCCTTCGGCTGACCGTCCAACGCTAGGCTCAGAGGCCGGTGCAGAAGAAAGCCAATAGAAAACAGTCTTAGTTGGAGGTCCGGCAGAAGTGTCCAATGAGCATAGCGGGTCTAGGCAAGGGGCGGTGCGATGGGGAGGGGCAGCGGGGAGCGGTTAGAGGTGGGAGTTGGTTCTGCAGACCGGGCGGGGGCCGCGGAAGCTGCGATGCGGACAGGGCAGCTGCGGTGACCCTTAGCTGCCGCCCGACATGAACTCGCTGGAGCAGGCGGAAGGTAGGGTGGGCCGCCTGGGCCCGTCCCACGTCTCCTCTCGGAAGCTGGCGGCGCTTCGGAGGGGCCGGCGTCGCGAAGACCCCCGCCCCGGGAGGAGGACGCGGAGGATGGAGCTCGGGGCCCGGAGCTTGGGGGCGCGGAGCGGCCGTACCTGGCCAGACGCGAGGGGCGGCGCCTCAGCTCCCTCCGTCCCCTCAAGCCTAGAGGGTCGAGCTCCTCGCCAGCTTCTATTTTTATTTTCTGTTCATTGGCAGATACTTACACTTCGTGCATTGCAGCCTGTTAATTCATTTCATTTCATTCTCACAACCCAGCGAGTTGTATCCCTGATTCCTGTGGTGGTTTCCGGTAACTGCCAAGGTTAGGAAGTGCTGCTCGGTGTTTTAAAGTTTAAAGCACACCACTCATTCAGAGCGAGCAGCTTAGACACCCGTCTTCTAGAACTGGGCGCTGCCTGGGTGCCACGAAGATCACCTGTACCCCCTTCAGAGGGGGCACGGGAATGTCTTTCCATACCCACCCGCTATCAGTGTCAAGAAGTGTAGTAACGCCAGACGGCATAGCCATTAATTAAATATAAGAGCTGAAAATCCGAGGCAGGTAATTGCAGTCAAGTAGACCTCGAAGACTTTGATGTTAGGCACTACGTGGTTCTAATGGGAAGTTCTCGGTTCTCAGAGAGCTAAAACTCGACCTCATTTTAATTTTGTTTGCAACTCTCAAAATGTTCCCTTTTGGCTGTGGCTGAGGCTGCTGCTGATTTCTCCCCATACCATTTTATGAAGCTTCTAAAAGTGAATCAGCAAGTTTTCCTATATGAGGGATTGGAATTGAAGAAGCTTAATGTTTTTGTCAGGTGCTTAAAAAGCTGTCAGTAAATGAACAGTGCAGTGATACATGGAAGTTGTGTAAAACGTGAAACAGTTAAGAGTATCTCACATGTCGTCTTAATGTTAGACACTCCGACATTTCGTCAGACGATTAAGAGTGTCTAATTAGAAAATTGACATCTTTCTACCTAGATCTCAAGGCTTTTGAGAGGAGACTTACTGAATATATTCATTGTTTGCAACCTGCTACTGGACGTTGGAGAAGTAAGTTCCTGAATGTTATTTTAAGGGAAAACTAACAATACTTTAATACTTACATGGGAATGATTTGCTTTTATGTACAATGTTTGCATAAATTTAACATTGTAAACGATGCCTTATGAAGAAATTTTTAAGACAAGGAAATTATAACTGGCTTTCTCAAAAGAACAGTCTGTTTCATGAAGTTGTTTATATTTTTCCATTGAAAATATTTTGGCCAGGCTTAATAGCTCACGCCTGTAATCCCAGCACCTTGGGAAGCCGAGGCAGGCGGATCACGTGAGGTCAGGGGTTCGAGACTAGCCTGGCCAACGCTGTGAGACCCCGTCTAATACAAAATTAGCCAGGCGTGGTGTTGTGCGTCTGTGATCCCAGCTACTCGAGAGGCTGAGGCGGAAGAGTTGCTTGAACCTGGGAGGCAGAGATTGCAGTGAGCCGAGATCATACCATTGCACTCCATCCTGGGCGACAAGAGAAAAATTCGGTCTCAATAAATAAATAAATAGTAAATATATATATATATTTAATTTTTTAAATTATTAAAACTTTGATGAAGACATACCTAATAAAAATTTCTGTTGCCCGTTTAGCTTTTTTATAATTTGCCTACAATCTATTGGAATAAAGTTTTAGTAAGAAGAGTCATATTGGCAGGACGCAGTGACTCGTCTCTGTAACATGGAGACCCCATCACTACTAAAAAAAAAAAAAAAAATTTACCCAGGCATGGTGGCACACCCCATGGTCCCAGCAACTTGAGAGGATCACTTGAGCCCAGGAGGTCGAGGCGTTAGTGAGCTATGTTCACTGCACTCCAGCTTGGGGAACAGAGGGAGACCCTGTGTTTAAAAAAAAAAAGAAAGAAAGAAAATCAAGTTAGGTTATTTAATGTATACTTGAAAAAGTTACAAAATTACCCTTAGTTGATTTTTAACAGTATAATTGTGTTGCTTTGAAGCTTGACCTAAAAAAGAAATTCACATTATTACTGTCTATTCACAAGTATCATGACTGCTACAAAATGTAATTTGAACAGCGTTTACTGGCCCACGGAAATATATAGGAAATGTGGGCAAATATACAAGTCATGAGATCATCAAACAAAATGCTTTGCTAATAGGTGTTTGAAATAGGTTTTTGTTAGTTTGTTTTTGTTATTGAACAGCTCACTGCAACCTCAGCCTCCCAGGTTCAAGTAATTCTCCTGCCTCATTCTCCCAAAGAGCTGGGGATTACAGGCACCCGCCACCACACACAGCTAGTTCATTTTTGTGTATTTTTAGTACAGATGGGGTTTCTCCATTTTAGCCAGACAGTCTCAAACTCCTCACCTCAGGTGATCCTCCCATCTCAGCTTCCTGAAGTGCTAGGATTACAGGCATGAGCCACCATACCTGGCCAAAATAGTTTTAATTTGTTGGGTGGTCATTATTGAAATTTAATTCCTATCAAGAAGGAAGTGTAGTAGCACACGTTGAGGATTTGCTTTATTTCAAAGTGTAAATGTGTAAATCAGTTTCCTGGACCAAAAAAGCACTATTGAACCTAAGGGTCTCACAAGACTTTTTGTGTAATTTTTATTTATTTGCAAAGTTTTAATCATATGCTATGATAATTCTTGTTGGTCAGAATTCACAGATAATGATTTTCTTAGGTTCTCTGGTTTACTTAGGAATTATCCCCAAAATCTATGTTTCACTGTTACTTGAAAATCTGTTAAAATGTATATGATACTGCCCTATCTTATAAAATGTAATATAATAAATACACTTTACTTTTTCTGTGACTCATGGTCTTAGCACTTACTAGGTTAATGTACCAGTCAAATAAAGCATGTGTATGAGGTCCTTTCTAGTGAATTGATTTTAATATTGCTTATTTTTTAAAAACATACATGCATAATATAGAGCGTGTATTTCTGGAACTAGAGAATTGTAAGAAATTGAGTTCAGTCCGTTCTGGGTTCAGAACATGGTTTCAATATTTTTATCCCATTATTAAATACCTAAAATGAGATTTTTTTTTCTTTAGTTTACATCTTCTAAAAGTTCATCAAGGAATTCTAGATAATTAAGGTTTTACTATATTTCTATATTTGCTATATTTCTGTTGCTCTTGGAAACTTGTTTCCACATTTGAAAAATGTGTGCATCCTACCTGAAAGGCAACTGTCATCATCTCCAGAATATTAACTGGGTCTTGATGCCCATTTATTATTTTTTACTAATACCGTTCTCAAGTTTTACTTATGATTTATTTAGAATTTCTAAAATCATTCTAGCTCAGTGGAGAGAAAGACCTTTTCTAAGTTTTACTGGCAGTAATTTCTACCTTACTAAGTCCCTTGAAGAAAATCTGATACTAACGGGTGTGCTCCATACTTCCTGCACTGACTTTAACCATGGGCAGTCATCTGCAAAGCAAAATCCTTTAGTCAGGCCTCTCAGTACGTGCAGAAAGGAGTCTTTGATGATTTGTTTACATTAGAAAATGAGTTCGTTTGTTTTTTTTTTTAATTTGAGCTTATAAGATCTGCAAAGTCTTCACTAAGCACAGTGAACAGTTACATAGCATAGACTCTTCTACTGAAGTGTCACCATCGAATTGCTTTTAATTTCATTGGTCTTCATAAGTTCCGACCAAATAATAAGAGAAAGAGTATCCTTGATTACTAAGGTTCACAATGTTTAAGAGAATTCCTCGAAGTCGTATGGCAAGCCTCCCAATTTCTGAATCTAGTTAGTGCATTTTCCATTTAATAAAGTGCTCAATTCTTCGGTTGTCATTTAGTAGGAACTGGTGGTGGTAGTATCACATATTAAGTGTGTATTTGCTTACTAATTTCGTGTTTATCTTTCATCAGTGCTTCTTATAGTGGTATCTGTCTGTACAGCTACTGGTGCCTGGAACTGGTTAATAGATCCTGAGACACAAAAGGTAGAAGTTTTGTTTTAAAATCATTAGCATAATTAAGTGAGATAATGGATACTGCAGTGCTTTGTTAATGATAAAGTATTCAAACACTACCTATTACTACTACTAGTTATATTGTCCTATTAAAAATATGTCTTCTATTAATTTCTTTAAGGAAGATTTTGGCTGGTTGTTTTGAATTAAGTATCTTTACAAGGAAAAAGGTCTAAGAAATGCTATTATTTCTTAGACATTTCATTATTTTTCATTCAGTTCTGAATTTATCATTTTTACATATATTTGCATCTCTCATTTTTACTTCAGTGTGAGTATTCTCTTCATTCTGCTTTGTTCATTTAGTGTCATCAGTGCAAATTTTAAAAGTTCTAAAATAGGCCAGGCATGGTAGCTCACACTTAGAATCCCAACACTTTGGGAAGCCAAGGCAGGAGTTCAAGACCAGCCTGGGCAGTGTAATATCACAAGACCCCATCTCTACAAATAATTAAAAAATCAGCCAGGTGTAGTGGCGCATGCTGTAATCTCAGCTGCTTAGGAGGCTGAGGTGGGAGGATCACCTGAGCCCAGGAGATCAAGTCTGCGGTGAGCTATGATTGTGCCTGTACACTCCAGCTTGTGTGACAGAGCGAGACTCTGTCTCGGAGAAAAAGAGGGAGAGAAAAAAATTATAAAGTAATATTTTCTTCTGTGAGTTATCTCTGTTAATACCATTTTGCATCCTGTAAAGGAGGGGAGATGACTTTACAGGAAACGCATATGATAAAATAGCAAAATACAAGTGCAGTAAAGTCAGGACTAGATAAAAACAAGTTGGACCATGAAGTCAAAACCAGAAAGGAGACCAGCTCACTGCTATATAGGCCATGTAGCCCAACACAGTTGCCACAAGTGAATTACAAATTAGTCTCTGAGTTACCTCATCAGCGAAGGCACAGTTAAATCTGTGATTTTCATTGTCTGTGAAGATCCTTGAGTTAGCAAAGCTTTTCTTTCCTAGCATTTATCTCTGAAAACAATGTCTTGCCTAAAGTTTAACATAGGAAACACTGAGAGATCTCCCACTGGGCACTGTGCAAGAATATCCCTATGCCAAATGCAATAACCAACATCATATATTCCTTGAAGCATCCTTTGATGAAAGCTGATAGCATGTTTCTCAAATTTCTACCCCATTCTACTAATTTGTGCCTTAATTTCAAACTCCAGGTTTTTTATTAGAGAAGTAGTCTTGTTTTTCGGTGAAGTTTCTTTCCCTCAGTGCAGTTTTATTTAGGGGATAACGATGTAATTTTCACAGATCTTAAAAATCCCCTCTCCGCTTTAAGCTGCAATTAAGTAGACTACTTTCAGTAGCTCTATTTGTATCTTTTAGGTTATACAGAAGAAAAAATCTAATAGAAGGCTTCTGTCATCAGTCTCCATGGCAGTTCTAACAGCCAGAGGGTTTATTTCGCGTATAGTCTCCCTAACTTTATCCGCCGAGGTGGAGATATATAAAAGGATAAAAAGCAAGGGGAGATTGGTGATGGAATTTTATGTTAATAGAAGATTTTTATGGCAGACAGGAAACTCTCTTGTGTGTTCATTTATAAAAATCTGATCTTAAGGCTACACTTGGTAGTCATCTTTAGGGGAAGAGTGGAAGGAGGCTGGCAAGAAGATTGAAAAAGATCCATCTTGGGAAATGAGTCTGACTTCTAATTGGGAAAAATATAAGCTGATTTCAGCTATTTGAGATCTTAATAAAACACAGAATTAAATATAATTTGACGTAGGCCCAAAACTATGCAGCTAATATAATTTTCTAAATTAGGTGAGAATATAACTATTCACCTAAGGGTTGGCTCTTTATATTTCAGTATTTAATAACCCCAAACCTGACAGGAGTTTTAACCAGCAATTGTATCTGTATCAAGAGTTGCAAACTCAAGAGCCAGTGGCTAACTGGAAGAACTTAGGGAAAGAAAGAATATGGCATACTGGAAGTACCTGAATGCCTGGTCTGGAGAGAACTGCTGTTTTGATGCACTGAAGTACTGCCATGGAGGGAGGAAGGCTGAAACAAACTGACCTACTTAAAATTAAGACACAAAGCACTGTATATGCTAACCTTGTGCAGGCCACACACAACAGAGCTGGCTGGCCTCAGAGGTTTCAAGAAGACATTCTTCTGGAATATTAACTTTTCCTTGGGTCGTCATCTTTCTGGGAGCTTCTTTCCTAGTGTTTTCAGCCTCTCATTTCTTCATCTGACAAACTTCTGTAACCAGTACCATACCATGCTGGGTCATCTACGTGGTGCTTCCGTCTTGAAACGCATACCTGCACATCTCCTGGTGTGAGAGTGGAGTGAGGATGTGTTTAACTTGATTCTCTTGCTCCTGTCTAGGTACTAATCCACTTGATTTCTTTCTGCAGGGGCTCTAAATGCTTGTCTTTTCTGTTTCTCCAGTCAACATTTCCATTTGGGTGCCTACTCTTGTTCCACTCATGGATGCTGGACCCTTGTCCCTCTATATGTTCTTATACTTGTGTATTGTCCTGTTTTCTGCTATCATTTGATAGGTCCAGATCCGAAATCAGCTCTTTCTCTTTCATTCTAGTTCCTTATGGATAGCTACTAATCATTTTTCCCTGCTTGAATGTCCTGTGGTCATTTAGATCTCGGTAGCTTCAAGGCCAAATTTGTTTCTGCCTCTGCAGGGAGGAAGGGTGATGCTGGAGTTGAGTGTTATGAGGACATCTGTTAGCCAGGTGGAGGGAGAGAGTTGAACAAGGCAGTGTATATGTGGAAATATGGCAGGAGATGAAAATTAGAGTGGGACCAGGTTATGAATGGCATTCAACTCTTAAGGAAGCTTTTTAACAGGGAAGGTAGGCTGGGTGCAGTGGCTCACACCTGTAATCCCAGCACTTTGGGTGGCCAAGGTGGGCGGATCACCTGAGGTCAGGAGTTCAAGACTAGCCTGGCCAACATGGTGAAACCCCATCTCTACTAAAAATACAAAAATTAGCCAAGCATGGTGGCAGGTGACTAATCCCAGCTACTCGGGAGTCTGAGGCAGGAAAATCACTTGAACCCCAGAGGCAGAGGCTGTAGTGAGCCTGGAACACATCATTGCACTCCAGCCTGGGCGACAAGAGTGAAAGTGAAACTCTGTCTCAAAAAAAAAAAAAAAAAAACAGGGACTGTAACTAAATTGTATTTGATTTGTGTTTTCATTGAGACCAGAGGCCTCATCTTCACTCATCAGTGCAGAGTGCAGTAAATAGTTCTGATAGAGTTGTTTTTTGATTACAGGAATGAATTTTTAATGGTTCAAGTATTTGAAATAAGTGGAGGGAATACTGCTATATTGTTTTATAGAAGATAGAAGGCCTATATATTTTTATTTTTACAACACAGCAATACAGAGAACTAAGATTATTAGAAGTCTTCAAATCCTCATAGTTAGATGATAAAAAGCATTATATATATTTATGTACAAGAGGGGAGGTAGGAATCAGCCATCCTAAGATTTTTAACATTTTTATATTTTCAACTCTTCTTTTACAGGTATCCTTCTTCACATCATTATGGAATCATCCATTTTTCACCATTAGCTGTATCACTCTAATAGGCTTGTTCTTTGCTGGAATACACAAGAGAGTAGTTGCACCATCAATGTATCCTTTACCAAGGATTAAGTTTCATTCTCTAAAGTGCTTTCTTGATCTAGGTAATGGTTAAAAGCTTACTCTTGCTGGGCATGTTGGCTCATGCCTATAATCCCAGCACTTGGGGATGCCAAGGTGGGCGGATTTCCTGAGCTCAGGAGTTTGAGACCAATCTGGGTAACATGGTGAAACCCCATCTCTACTAAAATACAAATAATTTTTTTTTTTATTCAGTCTCCATAGAGACTGTTAAAAATTGCCAATGCCGACTATATTTCAAGTCGTCATGGCAGGGTAAAGTTTTCAATTAGCAATAATTGCGCCTCAGAGAACCCTCATTGGCTACGATACCGCCACTGAGCAAAGCTAAAATACAAATAAATTAATTGGGTATGGTGGTCTGTGCCTGTAGTCCCAGCTACTTGGGAGGCTGAGGCAGGAGAATCGCTTGAACCCGGGAGGTGGAGGTTGCAGTGAGCTGAGATCACGCCACTGTACTCCAGCCTGGGCTACAGAGCAAGATTCTGTCTCGGAAAAAAAAAAAAGCTTACTCTTAAAATGAGAAATTTTCCTTTGACCACATGAATACAGTATAGCTGCTCGGTGTCGAACGGTGTTAGCAGAATACAATATGTCTTGTGATGATGTAAGTATTTTTTTGGTTAGAAAATTATAGACCTGCATGAAAAGTGAAAATTTTGGCTTTAGAAAGATAGATATTTTATTAACAATAAATTTTCTCTGTGGAATTAATAGTGGGAATATATTTTATGGCATTGATTCTAAGATACTTTTACATTTTAACATCTTTGGTGTTGAGATCCATCTTATAATTAATGAGATCTAACAAATTGGCAGACTTAACAATTTAATCTTTCTTAATGGCATAAAATGAGGATACATCTTAGAAGCATCTTAGATTCAGTGAAGTACAGTGGTGGTTTATTACTGACCAGAAAGGGCTCATTGGATGTTGGTTTTATAAACTACCATTATTTATCAAGTGATATGCTATAATATTATTTGTCATAGATAAATAGAGTCATAGATTAATTTGTGGACTATGGACATGTGAACCTATTGTGTTAAAAGTAGATCATGGGGGACTGGGCACGGGGGGAGGGGACTGGGCATGGTAGCTAATGCCTCTGATCCCAGCATTTGGGAAGCTGAGGTAGGAGTATTGCTTGCGTCCAGGAGTTTGAGACTAGCCTAGACAACATTAACAAGACCCCATCTCCACAAAAAATGTAAAAATTAGCCAGGCTGGTGGTGCACACCTGTAGTCCCAGCTGCTTGGGAGGCTGAGGCAGGAGAATTGCTTGAGCCCAGGAGTTTGAGGCTGCAGTGAGCTGTGATCATACCACTGCAATCTAGCCTGCATGACAGTGAGACTCTGTCTTTAAGCAAATTAAAAACTATTATGTACCAGTGTATAATAAAGGTGTGTTACAATTTTGATAAGTAGCTTCTGTTTTGATTTGCTTAGTTTATTTATAAAAGTGTATTTAAAAAAAAAGTGTATTAACCTTCAACTTAAAAAGTCATTAAAACAGTAATACAGCCGGGTGCGGTGGCTCACGCCTGTAATCCCAGCAGTTTGGGAGGCCGAGGTGGGTGGATCACGAGGTCAAGAGATCGAGACCATCCTGGTCAACATGGTGACACC